CCCTGATGGAATCTCTGGGAAGAAAGGTAAGAGAGATCTCAAGAAAACATCTTTGGCCAGACCTTGTGATTACAGATTATTTCCAGGAGGTCTCTATGTTGTTTCTTCTTATTTATATGCATACATGGGTGTATTTTTATAACAGGACCAAAAGGAGACCAAGGTCACATGGGAATTCCTGGACAGACTGGCTTACCGGGAGAGAGAGGACCAGTGGGTCCGAAAGGAGACACTGGATTTCCAGGTCAGATATGGGCTCCTAATAAACTTGCATCCATTGGACTAGTAAAGATAGATGTTTATCGCAAGGCTCTTTACAGTTTGTTTGTGTTTTTGTACATTCAGTCAAATGCTCCACAATTATTTGTCTTATGTACACCTGAAAAATGATTTCTCATATCACTTCTTTCGTCTGAGACAGGTTTTGATTTGTATGATTAGTAGTTTTCTGTTTAGTGCCAGGCTTTTTCTCTTTCTGAGGGATACATGATGCTTTTTACCATCTGTAGTTTAAAAATTAAAATGTTTAGTTTAACACAATGATGAAAGCCATAAAATGTCAAACTGGTCAAATTGGACTTCACAAAAATCCCAAGAATACATGAACTGCAGCTACTTCACCCTGAGTCACTGAACAAGCAATCGACCCCGCAGGTTATCCTGGAGCGCCTGGCAGCCCGGGCCGTCCTCCGCCTTCCATTAAAATCCCAGGAGAAAGAGGCTTTCCAGGTCTGCGGGGTATCCAAGGCCCGAAAGGGATTTCAGGGGTGTCAGGACCTCGAGGCCCACCTGGAGATCCAGGTTAGTTTACAATTTTTCATGTCACACCATTTTTACCAAGTGAGTATTAAAATATTTCATTGGTAATGTACGCAAAGTACAAGAAAAGCTCTGCGACAGATTTATTCTGTGTCTGATCAGGGTTCATGGGACCTGTTGGACTTAAAGGCATGCCTGGGATTAGTGGTACTCCAGGAGTGCCAGGTTACCGCGGCGAGGTGGGCAATGTGGGGCACCCCGGTCTCCAAGGCATGGAAGGTACGTCTCACACTGCAGGGCAGTTTGGGATTAGGGTTATAATCCTGGTTTAGAAGATTTAAAGTAAATGTGGGTTAAGACAAAAAACAAGCAATTTTGAAAGTTCAAATATTGTTTTTGTTGTTCAAAAGTTCAAAAAACGTCTGTAATATTGATATAAATCGAACCCAATGACAACAACAGATGGCTAACTGAGTCCATGATTCCCCAATAGGTCAAAGAGGCAGGCCCGGCGGGCCAGGATTACCTGGCATGGCGGGCCGCAGTATCAGCGTGGGCTACCTGCTGGTGAAACACAGTCAGTCAGAACAGACGCCCATGTGTCCGGTGGGAATGTCTAAACTGTGGGACGGTTACAGTCTGCTGTACCTGGAGGGCCAAGAGAAGGCCCACAACCAGGACCTCGGTGAGTCAGTGTGAATAATAAAAAACACTAAGTTGACTCTTTTCTTAGCATTACCTCTCAGAAAGCTCCTGCTTTGTTTCTATTATTTATGTCCTTTCCCAGCACTTGTTCTCTGATCTTCCCAGTCTGATTCAGTTGCTCTGAGGATTTTAATTTTGTTCCTAAGAGAAATTGGGTTTTCAAAGAGGCAGAATTAATTTTGCTTTTCAAGGTTTGCCAAAATCTGATAAAAGTCAGAGAACCTCTGGGAAAATTCTCGTAAATTCTATTCTACTTTATTTCCCACTGGATCTTGCTTCTTTGAAAACTCAAAATAATTGAGAGGTGAAGCAGGAGACATGACGGCAGGGTGGGGGGACAGAAAGCATAACAACTTTAAGCCATTTAATCTTTAAACTCACTTTTCCGATGTTTGTTCCCAACAGGTTTGGCTGGTTCCTGTCTCCCACGGTTCAGCACCATGCCCTTTCTGTACTGCAACCCTGGGGACATTTGCTACTACGCCAGCAGAAACGACAAGTCCTACTGGCTGTCAACCACTGCTCCCCTCCCCATGATGCCTGTCGAAGAAAAGGAAATCCAGCCGTACATCAGCCGTTGCTCGGTTTGCGAGGCTCCATCAGTTGCTATTGCGGTTCACAGTCAGGACATCACTATCCCACAGTGTCCCGTGGGCTGGAGGAGCCTGTGGATTGGCTACTCCTTCCTCATGGTGAGTTCCTGTTTTGGGTGGAAAAATAAAAGCGCCTGACTTCAGTTCATTTACATTGTGTTACAAAAGTTTTTGCAAACCCCTTCAATCATCTTCACATCTTCTTTGGTGTGTTGTGCGAAAAGTTTCATGTGACATAACGAACTACACATAATAGCACAATTGTTAGGTGAAAGACAAATAGTTTTCATGTAGACACTGATATTTTTGCAAAATACCCCAACCTCATAGTGAATGGACAGAGAGTCATCAACGTCAGTTTACAAATGTTTACAGGACTCTCATTTGGACTTACATTGGAACGTTGACTCAGGTTGTATGTTTAGCATTGATGTCCCTCTGAAACCACTGCAGCAGTCTCAAATCTTTTGCAGTCTCCAATAGATCTTCTTCCAGGGTTGTCTTTTATTTAGCTCCATCCATTGTCTAAAAACGTAGACAAGCGTAACTGTAACTGCTGAAGAGAAGTAGGAATAATATGTTCAGGATGATGTGCAGTGGCAGTTTTTGTGGATTACAAAATGACACCCCATGTAGCAACACCAGCTTACCTTTTATTCTTACCTGCCTCAGTTAAAGGCACTCTCACCTTTCTCTCCTGCAGCACACGGCAGCAGGAAACGAAGGCGGCGGTCAGTCCCTGTCATCGCCCGGCTCCTGCCTGGAGGACTTCCGCACAACGCCGTTCATTGAGTGTAATGGAGCCAAGGGCACATGCCACTACTTTGCTAACAAACACAGCTTCTGGCTGACATCCATAGACCAGTCATTCCATACTCAGCCATCATCGGAGACACTAAAAGCAGGCCAGCTCCTTTCACGCATCAGTCGCTGTCAGGTCTGCATGAAGAACTTGTGAGAAACTCTGCCGCAGCGCCGACAGACAGACCTGAAGTTCTTACCTGAGTCGACGCCAACGAGTAACTTTCTCGCAAGCCGCAGAGCTCAGATGTGCAATGACTGTGCAATTCTTTGAGCTTTAATGTGCACTACAGATACAGCAAGGAAAGCCATAAGATAAGAACAATTGCATCATGGAACAACTGTCTGTTTGTTATCTGCAATGTTGTGTGTTAAATGTGACTTGGTGCTTATTTTTTAACTTATTACCTCAGTTATTATGACACATTGTTAACCATCAAAGATCACAAAGTACAGCTAAACCAAAGATGCTTTTGTTTAACTCTGTATTTCTGTGGCTGAGCTGCAGCAGTCACACTTAAAGCCACTAACACTGCCTTAGTGCTGAGGGTCTATTTTTAAATATCCTGTATCATTTTATTTGCTTGTACAAAGCCTATTTTTCTATATTTACAGCAAGCTGTGCTCTTTTTTTTAATGCATGCATCAACTACTGTTAGCTCATTTGTTTTTCATATGTTCACACAATGCACTGATTCTGTTTAGACATTTCAATAAAATAAATTTGACCCTCTCTCTAGGTGTTTCGATGCATAGTATTGTTAGAAAATATTTCACAGCACTCATATTTTGCTTCCAAGAAATGAGATCTAACTAAAACATGTCAGGATAGGACACAGGTCCGACCTCTGTCATTCAAGACATAGCGATTATAGCCAATTGATTTTGCTAGTATTTATATCTGAGTTATGTGAAAATTTGTTAGGTTATTTTTCTGTAAGCTCCTGATATTTCTCTGAAATTCAATCACAGCTTTTATTTGCCCCAACCACTTAGTTTCACGTTGCTTTTGGGTAATACGACTAATTTGTAGTATTTAATCCGAAGTTGTTGGAAGGGAGCTGGGTGTGGTATTGAAGAGCTTTCCAATGAACTTCCTTCTTTTCTTCAGATCATGAATTGGGACTTATGGGCACATAAGTTGTTGTTAGGACCATCATAGTTATCATTCTGTTGATTCCTACTTCCATTTCCTACCTGCAAAACCACCTTTTTGTAATTATTTTTCTTAAATTATGGGGGATTTCCTTTTAATCTGTTGTTGCTGTGTTCTGCAAGAACTAATTATGTTTCTGCTTTTTTTTTGTCAACAAACAAAGCAAAGATTATCTGAATGAAAGCAAAACAGTATTCAAAAAATGATTTTATGTATTGAGGAATAACATGTAAAAAAGACTCAGCCCGGTAAACCTTTGTGCTATAATCTTACCCTAATCCCCCTGAAATGGCAAAATGTTCTGCATGACAGTTTTGATTCCACCATGTTGAAGGACTTTTGCACAAGAATGGCCCATCACAAAATGATCACACTCTAGCATTTCAGTCGAATTTAAATCCAGATTTTCTGTAAACTGTCTCCAACTTGCTTTCTCCCCGTTCAGGGGTGGATTCGCTGGTGTGCATTGGATCAATGTCTAACTGCAACTATAGATGGTTTACACATGACTGCTGAGCCAGTTACTTGGGTCAAGACTTAAGTTTAACATCTCCAGGAGGAGTGTCTTATCGCTGTCAATCACACTCGTGTACGAGCGGCTTAATGTGCTAGTGGCGGATAAACAAATTACAGGAAAACTATTCATTCAAAACCGGAAGAATGTCTGGTTGGTTAGACAAAGAGAATAGAGAAATAAGAGACAGTTTGAGACTGAAGATCAAATCTGATGGCATCCATGTTGCAGCCATTCACCTCTTCAAGTCTAATTTAGCTGTGCCAAGTGAAAAACATGACAGACCATAAAAAATGGTCAGAGCCTCAGCCAGGTAAACCTTTAAAGCAGAGTTTCTAAAGTGGGTAAAATGCTCTACTTCAGCTCTAAAACTAGAAAAAATGAAAAGGTAAAATTTACATGAATATAATTTCATTTGATTCAATTTTTTCATTCTTCTGATGAAGTTACATATCCAAGAATGCAAACAAACCTGGAAATAAATGGCTTTATTATATTTTATAAAATTATATTTTAAAAATTAAACACTGACATTTTCATCATTCACTCGATTTTAATAAAATATAAAGACAAACATCAATATTTGTAAAAAAAAAAAATGGTTTGATTAAAATGAAATGTGATCAAGATTGTGCAATAAACAGTGAAATGAATGATTAGTGCAGTTCATTTAGTGGCAGTACATAGTAAAACATTTACAGCAGTAATTTACTCTTTTCTCAATGTGTTTTTTGGGGCCACAGGCACATCTTTGGAATATTTAAAGCGCAGTTTGAGTTATTAAAGTAGGAGGTCTATTGCATAAAGTGATATTTCCCTTCCTATAAAAATGTCTCTACCTTTATCTGCGCTCATATAAATCTTCACATCAATGGGAAATGTGTTTGCTATCGAGTCACAGCCAAGGCAAACACAAAACAGTACAGTCACAGTGTGGATTTAATGCTCAGTCAAACTTGGCGACTAATAAAAACAAGTCTGCAGCTGGGAGCCTCGTTGATGCCTCAGATCTTTAACAGCAGTTGGATTTTTCCTGCTTCCCATTGACCTTCCTCCAGTCCTCCAGATTTACGGTCGGAGACGCGTCGTTCTCCTGTCTCTTCCTCTGGATGGAGGGCACCACCAGATCGAACAGCGTCTCAAACAGGACGTCCACGTTGTACCCGGTCTTGGCGCTCGTCTCGAAGCACATCTTGTCTGCCGGGAGGCTGCTCTTCTCGTCCAGGCCTTTGTATCGCAGTATTCTCCCGTAAAGGGCCAACACGTCCTCCCGCGCCACCTGCTTGTGAAGCAGCAAACCGTTGAGGGATGCGGGGACCGCAGGAGGAGTGGGACAGGTGGACATGCGGTTCTGTTCTGTCCTCTCCTCCTCGCACTCGCACTCGGTTCGGTCCTCGGGGAGTTCGTCCGAGTCCTGGCAAAGGTGGGCTTTGGAGTCAGTCAGGTCGGCCTTGTTTCCCACTAAGGCGTAGATGCAGTCCTTGTTGGCGGTATCGGTGAGTGACAGGAAGCGCTCCTCCAGCTCAGCGAGGCTCTGCCAGTTAGTGACGTCGTAGGTCAGGATGACGGCGGCTGCTCCTCGGCAGTACATGGAGCCCAGACCGTGGAACTGCTCCCGACCTGGAAAGACAGGAAAAGTTACTGCTTTACCATTGTTACCTCAGTCAGACTGAATCAAGAGCATCTGAACAGAGAATAGAAATTGCAGTTACCGATTTAGGTTTGGACTTTGGCCGGACCATCTTAATATGAATATGCTGTCATAGAAAACATCCCATTCAATTGTAGCTAGTCTTTTGAGGTCTATCAGGTTTTCTTCTAGTATTGTCCTGCATTTAGCTCCATTCATCAGCCCAAACAGCACTGAAAACCAATCCTACTACAAAGTGTCCATCTCTGATGTGTGAATTATAGACCTATCAGTCAAAATTAATATATCCAAGAATATTAAGACATTTTGAACAACTGTTAAATTAGTTTGGATATAAGACTGCAAACAGATTTCACTATATGTTGCATATTTTGCTAGACAAGAATCCTTGTTACTCATTGTAGATCAATTTCCTTGGTGAAAACAGTTAAGGAAAAGAACCATCCTCAACACTTTATTTGAAGAAAAAGCTGTGAAGTCTTTGTCAGGCCACACAGACCTGAAAATATGTCTCTTTCCTGAGGGAAACAGAAGAATCTTAGCAAGAGAAGAAAAAGGAATTGACCAAAGGCCTTTCAAACAGAAGAGGTTTGAGCTGCTTCAGCAGAAATCTAGTTTTCTTTCGATGTTAAACCCTCAAACCTGTAACAGTAAAGAAGGCGATAAAGCCAGAAAATTTGAGTCACGTAAGGAGTCTTTGCAACCATTTTTTTTTTTTTTACAATCAATGTAGTAGAAAGACCAAACCAGTGTTTTATGAAAGACAGTCAGGAGTTTGAAAACAAAAAAGCTTTGTTGTCAGAATATGAAGGGGAACACTGTGTGTAGGAATACATTCCACTGAGGACGTTTCATTTTGTTGTTTAGTAATTCAATATGCTCAGCTACAACAAATGGGGTTTAAACAATAGAGCAGTGATCAGTCACATATTTTTGGACAAAAATAACCCTGTGAACCCCTGGTATTTGCAGGAGTTGGGAGATTTCAGCCGCCTGCGAATAGCTAAAGTCAGCAGATACTTAAGATACCCTTATCGCTGCCAATTTTAAAAGTTCAAACACCAAATATACCTTATTATGAATTAATGCACACAGTGGAAACAGTGTTAGTACAGTAGCAAAAGCTAATAGCTACAGTTTTCCTTATTTTCGCTCTTGGCGTCACAGCCAGTCAACAGGAAGGAAAAATGAATGTTGCTCATGAACTGGCTGGTTTATAAAGACCAGCCAACAGTGTGGCAAGAAGTGCAGCATCTAGTTATTTCAGCTTGCCAAGCAGGATTTCCTTTCCAGTACCGTAGATATGTCTTACAAAGAAATCTAAATAGAAGGAAGTTTCCAGAAACAACTTGGAGTTCTGTTTCATCAAAAAATATATATATATATACATACAAATGCTGCAGTTGAATGAACACCGATCATTTCTTAGTTTGGCTTCATTTGAACTGAAATCCAAGCAAATTAAAAAAAAAAAAGTTGGAAGCTATGCGTCATACTTGACCCTCCAAAAAACAAGGAAGAAAATAAACACAAGCATGTAATTGCTACTGGAATGGAAAAAAAAAATAAAAAATTCACCCTGCATTACTCTATGCTCCTCTACAGCCTGAGAAAACTCCGGTCACCTCAAGTAGCTCTGGCATCATGGAGAGTTTATCATAGAAACTTTATCATGGTAAATGTCAGTGGCCTGGGTTTGCCAGTATTTCATCTGGATAGAGGTGAAGTTATGCCTGTGACATCGCTTTCACTAAAATCTGAAATGTAATCAATTTTCTACCTACAAATTCAACATAGCACATTGGGTTTCTTTTTTAAACTGTCAGCCTTATGACCAAGAGAAGTGTGTCGTATTTGTGGAAATACTGCTGTGTGTGATACTTTGGAGAAGACAGGATGAAGCAGAGAGAGCCGCGACTTATCATGTGACTGAAGAGGAACTGGATCGAGTTTCTTTTTAAAAGCCAAGCCTGAACATCACACGTGAACTGAAAAAAGTTATAATAATAAAAAATGGGTGCGATGTGACCAACGGTCGTCCAAAAACCACAATGACCCTCTCCGACTGCTGCTACTTCCACAGCTATGTAGTCAGTGCTGATAGATATGCAACAATAACTTTTACTAAACGGTGACTCAATAAGGCTGAACTGGCATTTCGAGGCCATGTTGCATGAACAGATGCAACGTGGGAACACAGAGGTCACAGACACAGGCAGGAAACGGTTCATTGTTGGCAAGGCCAGTTTTTCCCTCATCTCTGTGGCTCAATACCTCAACTGAAGGTTTGTGTTTGCCTAAAATGGTTTTCTATTAATCATATTTACACAATACTGGAATGCTACTCTGACTTTATCACGAAGTAACAATATCCAGGTCAAGGCAAGAGCATAAGGTGAATAAAAGCCATTAAACCCTTAAAAAAATGAAAGAAGTCGGCATGGCCTCTTCATAAATCACAAGTGTTTTAGGTCCTAGTTAAAGATCTACAGTAGTTGAAGACCTGATCACAGTCTTCATTAACCCTCATACTTTGTTACTGTAAGGGAAAGTCATGCAGGTGTTTTAATATCAGCTTGGTTGATTTTCACACCTTTGTGATGCCCATCTACTATTGCAAAAACAAATTAAGAAAATCAAGACTGATTTATCGGTGCACCCCTACTTTCCTTCATTGTCTCCCAAGATATGATGCTCAGCTGACTGTGACGGTGAAATAGCAAATGTAAGATCATCTGTCCTTTCCTAACAATAAGAACTCTGTATTTCTGAATGTTTGTGTTTGACTTCCCACAAAATGCTGACTTAAAATAAACCAACTATCAGAGACCACATATGGTTGCACTCTACCTCCAGACCAGTAGAGTCAAAACACAACACACCATACCCGGATTTCAATTATTTCCATCAGTCTGGAAGCAGACTGACAGACTGGTTTGGTTTTCAGTCAAACCACTGAGTTAATCCACTTACGCTTTGATAATACCTATCAAAGTTTTGATGCAATCCTGGTTTGGTTTTCAGTCAAACCACTGAGTTAATCCACTTACGCTTTGATAAGACCTATCAAAGTTTTGATGCAATCCTGGTTTGGTTTTCAGTCAAACCAAAGACAAAGACAAAGTGCATAAATGATCCGAAAAGCACTGAGTTAATCCACTTACGCTTTGATAATACCTATCAAAGTTTTGATGCAATCCTGGTTTGGTTTTCAGTCAAACCACTGAGTTAATCCACTTACGCTTTGATAAGACCTATCAAAGTTCTGATGCAGCTATAGAAAACAACTTAAAAGTGTTCAGACTTTTAAAAACAGATAGAGTTAATGAATATCTGAAGGCTCTCCTTGAAAAGGCACCAACAACAACTGTTGAATTAAAAGCAGGTGGGGGAGTATGTGAACAGACGTGAGCCCACACAGTGATGGAAAATGCTTGGATTAGATTACATTACTACAACATTGAGCAACACAGCACATGACGGGAAAAACACTGATTCTAGGACACACCAAGCAGGAGCGACCGAAATTACTTCACAAGTTATTATGTCTGATCAGCATTCTGACAAAAAAATACAGACAATTGTGCTACATCATACTAACATATTTGTTAGTATGATGTATGTTAGTATCTTCACATCCTAAATATGTCAACAGGATGTGAAGAGTTCACCAAATAAAATATTTATCAGTAACTTTTGACTCCAAGTATCATACCAAAAGGCGAAATTGCGACAAAGCAGAAACTAAAAAAAAACAAAGTCTTGATTAATGATAAAACAAAACTATTTATAACAGCATTTGAGTATAAATGACTGTAAACTCTTTCATTTTTTTATAATGCAACAGACGACTAAACTTGCATTTTGTGTTAAGTGATGGTCTGGAAAACACCTTTACCACAAACTCAAACTGAATTAGTTCAGACATTTACCGGCATATCAAACTCTCAGAACAGATAAAAAAATTTTGTCACACCATATCTATGTTTTAAAGATTTTACCAGAAAAAGTGCATAAATGATCCAAAGTTTCTTTGGTTCCTTAGTCTATGGAGTAACAGTACCACCTTTACCTCCTACTTGTTGTGCACAATACCTGTCATAAGGTTAAAATACGGATATTACACTTTCCCTGTAAAATGAGGCTATTTGGGAAGGTTTTCAATTGAAAAACATGGACAGAAATGTTGTGGAAACTAATGAAACTCTTTATATGGAAGTGCTGTTTGGGGTATAAATAGTTGGGGATGTTTAAAAAAAACAGTTAAAAGTAAATACAGTGATGGATTAAAATTACATTTTCTTTACTCAAAGTTACTAAGTTTCTTTGGTTAACTTTGACAGGTTAAAATTGTCTATCCATCTACTCAAACGTGCAATAAAACCCTCTTCTTCACTCTAGTTTGTGAGAGAGAAAGCTGGTTGGTATCTGGCTGGCTGGACCTCATTGTGATGGATTATCGGATTGTTTTCCTCCTGCCTGACCTGAAAAGATTGGATTGTGCCAGCAGACTTTGCATGAGCAGCTCTGGCTGGTCCTAACAGCTCCCAGGCCACGGTTCCCACGAAAGCAGGCCGCCTGGTTGCGATCACCGAGCGGTCACATGCAGCTGATTGCCTCGAGTGGCGACAGCATGTCTCCTCAGGTAATCACTGATAATGAAGCGCACACAAACGAGCCGAACAAGCGGATGTATTACCAGCCGTGTCCCAGATTGATATGTTGTAGGGCCCCCACTGTTTGAGGAAAAAAGCCCCTCCAACGGTGCTGATGGTGTCTTTGAACTTCCTCTCCATGTATCTGTGGAGCAGCGACGTCTTCCCCACGTTCATGTCGCCCAGGAAAACGAGCTTCACGTCGGGCTTCTTCATCTTCGACCGGTCCGGCATGGTGATGGTCCTCCGTCCGTCTGCACGCGCTGACTATTTGTGTTCAAACCCCGACGAGGAGACGCGGTCTAACTCAGAAAAATAACCCCGCGAAAGTACCGAATTTCTGCAACGAAAAGCATTTTATGAACTAGAAGACGATGTTTAACTTCTTCACTGTGTGACAGTTAACCTTCAGCACGCGCATGCTGAGCGAGACTGAACTTCAAAAAAAGTAACTGAGGTGAAACAGGAAGGAGGTGGGAACCGGAGGAGGAGGAGTTGTTTCTCCCTCGGTATTGTCTTACAGGTTCAATAAACGATTTTCTTTCTTTCTCTTTTTTTTTTAAACACAGTGTACACTAATAATATGATTGCAGTCAAGTAATAAGGTATTTATTTCAACTGCAGGACGTTATAGTAATACAATATGTTAGATGTGTAACTGGTTCAATTAATTAATAATTTATATTAACTTAAATTCACAACAATGTTTTAAAGCAACTAAAAGTCTTTCTTTTAAGATGCTAATTATTAATTTAACATAATAACTTTTGATTTTTTTTATCAACACCAGAGATCAATATGTTTTTCCACTTTGAGTATTTTTTTGACAACAATAATAACAATAACTGCAATAATTTAAACACTACAACGATCGTTCTGATTGTGTTATTAGCTTTTGGTCTAGTTTCTGAGCGTGATGTATTTTTACCCACAAGACAAAACTTTTTTTGCCCAAAAAGTTTACACATGAAAGACAGTGTCTGTGACTCTTAATAATTTTTAGAACCTTAAATGCTGCATTCTGAAGGAGAATAGTCTGCTTCAGAATTCTGCATAAGCATACTTTAGCTCTTCAGGACCAACATTTTTAAAAGGATGTAAAGAAAAGCATATTTAAGTTGCTGAGAGAAAAACTAAGGATTTCTGTGAGTTCTAGTCAAAGTTTTGATGTTTTACAGGTTGCTCCTGTGTGAAACGTCTCTAGTGGGCCAAATTTTCTCCACAAAGATGAAAAAGACCCATTGTCAGTCTCCTCAAACACATTTCTAAAAATGACTTGTTTGTCATTTTAATTATAAAAAAAATGTTTTGTGTTTGGTTGCTCCCCAATGGCACATCACAGCCTTATCTATCAACAGAAATCATTAAAAGGCACAAAGATGTTTATTTGCCAAAAGACAAAGGGAAAGCTTTCTGAAATGTGTACTAGCTCAAATTTCTGATCACATTTTTGTGAACTGCTACCTGCCTACTACCCCACATCACCCCGTGACCCCCAGCATAGCCACCAATGACAGCGGTGAAACGTCACTGGTTTACTACATATATTTGTGGCGCTGTGATCCTGGAGTGTCCGAGCAGTCTTTAAACGCATCACCGCCGTCTTTTTCCTGCGCTGCTGTCCTGGGTCAGACCGCCTCATGATCCGGAGGTGTGGTGCGCACTTCCCAGCGTTCAAGCGCATTTTCCGTTTAGGTAAGAAGGACTGCTAACAACTCGAGGGGGTCTTCCACGCGTGGGGAAGCTCCGTGGTTCAATGGCTGACATTTTGCGAAACAATGGCTCCTCAACAGATTCAGACACAGCTCTGCTTGTGGTTGGTCACAGTTGCTCTATCGGTCGTCGCCACGTTCGTCTGTTTTAACCAAAAAGGTAACGTGAAGGGGATTTTCTTCCGACGTGCTATTGTATTTTAACACAGCCATGACTGTAGCATGTCTGTAGCTGCGTTTGACTGCAGCCTTTGTGACCGCGGTGTTTAGGACCCCGCGGACACCGAGCAGGGCGGAGGACCAGGCTAGGTAACATTAACCTCAGAGGACTGATCAGAGGTCAGTTTGGAAAGCTGCCCGCTAAAGCTAATGGTTCCGCAAAGTCCTGCGGAAGCTGACCCGTATTCAGTTGACCCAAAAATAATTCGCCACGCACTTTTACAGCGACGAGAGCGGATAGACAGAGGCGGCTAGCACACAACTAGTTGACCCTGCACGTCGCTTTGTTATGAAGCTAAAGTTTGGGACTGCATTCTTAAGCCCTGCCGAGCTATCAAAATGGCCACTGATCAGTGTTTGGGCTAGCTGCGCCGCGCCGCTTCAATGCGGCCAGACCCGACACTCCTCGCAGTCTGCGGTGTAAACGTCTCCATTCAACTCCGATTGGTAGGGGTCACGCCATAAACCGGAGCAGCGATGCAGTCCAACACGACGCGGGGCTTCTTGTGGTCCGACATAGAGACCAGGACCCTGCTGAACATCTGGGGGGAGCAGGACATCCAGACGGCGCTGGACGGAAACTTCCGAAACAGCTTCGTCTACCGAGACGTTTCCCGCAGGCTGGGGGCCATGGGCTTCGAGCGGACCCCGGAGCAATGCAGGGTCCGCATCAAGAGCCTCAAGAGGCAGTACCTGCTGGCGAAGGAGGGCAACCTGCGAAACAACGGGCAGTACCACAAGATCTGCAAGTTTTACGACATCATGGAGAGTATTTTGAGCAACCGGACGGTCCTGGACCCGCAGGAGCTGATGGACGGCGGGGTCGGAGGGGAGGAGGCCGGAGATGGGCTGGAGGAGGATGGAGAGGATGCTCAGGATAGATACTCTGAGAGCACAGGAGAGTGTCCCTATCCTGCTGAGACTGAAGTCAAGCTGGAATACCCCGCTGTCCCCATCCCCATCCCAGTCAAAGTCACAGTTGGCAATAACAGTAAGTAAATCTCTTCCCTACCCCTCTGGGTCACGTTTTCTGCACCTATCAGCCTTTATCTGGCCTGTAACACTTTGATGAACCCATACATTTAGTTTCACTGTATTAATGAATACAGTTTGCATCTCAATTAAAAAACTGTAACGCTCTCTGCAAAAAAACCCCCACAAAATATTAAGTAATGTCGGTGTAGTTTCTAGCACAAATGTATTTAGCACGCTTGAATTCAAAAATACTTTATTGACCCCAAAGGGAAATTAAATAAAAACTAAGCTATTTTAGAAGGAACTTATCAGACACAGCAGCTTATTTTAAGTCAAGTGGAATAAGACGATTCTGACTTATGATATGGAAAAACAATGTTGTTCCACTGACAGATTATTTCATTCATAACTACTACTTTATCATCAATATCAAGCATCAAAACAAACTCCAATATCATGCAGAAAGTTAGTTATAGCTTTGAATCTTATTTCAAGTGCACTAAGTGTGCTAGAAAGTAGGCCAGCAATACTTTGGTAAGATTTTGTTTTTGCAGTGGATATGATGCAAAAACTCTCGCATTGTCCTGCTGTTTGCTGTTTATTTGAGTTTTTCAATTCACCAGGTGAATTGAAATTCACCTGGTGCAACAAATGAAAGGGGATCAAATATGCTGCAGCTTCTTTGATCAAGCTGATGAGATGAAAGTAGTAGCTTTGAATAAATCAGATAGGAATTGCAAGATTATCCCTATTTATGCATCTGAACACATCTCAATAACCCCTATGTTCTTCTTTCAAGTCAAAAATGTGGTGTTGAAGAACAAGCTGTTGATTGATGCATTTACAAATGCAAAATGTTGTTGCATGGAATAAATAACAAGGGAGAAAACAGATGTGTCAGTATTTGCTAATCAAGGGACAATTAGCCAATTCTGAGCCCTGGTAGATTGCTTGATGTGTCTGTTTGAAAAAAATTGTTACCGTCTTAAGACATATTTATGCTTGCTCACATAAGGTTTTTGAATTTCTCTTTCTAGGCACCTCTGCAAATCCGCCCAACAGTTGCAAAGTAGCTGGCAATTTGCCGGCCAGACCGCCTAAGCGGCCCAGAAAGAGGCGTTCCAACTTCCCCATGGAGAAGCTAATGGAGCAGTTCCTGGAGCAGAGCGCTCAGGCCGAGGAGAACTTCTACCGCGTGGAAGAGCAGCGCCTGCAGGCGGAGGACCGGCGTCGAGAAGCGGAGCACGCCAGAGAGCTGCACATGCTCCAGATGCTGGCGCAGGTGTTCTCCTCAGGCAGGCCCTCCTCTTCCTCGTCCGCTCCCTCCAAGCCGTCCCCTCCAGCCCGACCTCCGGTCATCTCCAGCACCCTCTCGTCGCAGCACAGCCGTGGCCCGCCGGGGCACCTCAAGCGCCCTGCGTCCCAGACGGACTCTTTCAGCCAGCCTCTGAGCACAGATCCTCAGTCTTTAGGTGTCAGGTGTGGCGGCGTGTGTGAAGAGAAACTGAAAGGCGGCGCAGGTGTGACGTAAACACTCAGCAGTGATCGCCCTTGTTATCCATCTTATAATAAATTTTCTCAGTGTGTTTTCTGGTTATTGACTGAACCTGAGTTCTGGTCTGAAGTATTCATTCACTCTTTAGAGACATGAATGTCAGTAATTTGGGCCTTTTAACGGAGTTTTTTATGATGGACTCATAATTCAAGAAACAAATTTAATGATTTTAAACCCCAAGTTTGGATTGAATATGGATCTTCTGTAAGAGAGTTACATTGGTATTTTCCAGCAGTGATATTTTCTACATTATTATTATTTCAAAAGACTTTTCTAAGTCCTTTGAAATGTAAACTTGCTCCTGTAAGCTTCAGGAATACAGGGAGTTTTGGAGGGAATTTGTTACAAAAACTATCAATCAAATCTTATGATGAATTTATCATGATAATTGAAACGACGTGATAAATGCTCACACAAAACATCCACAAAGGAATGGTATTTTTAGTTGCCAAGATGGTAGCACTCACAAAATAGTTTTGGGGACATTGCATTGCAGAAACCTGAATAACAGTATTGTATTATTCAGCAATACTGTTGGAATTACATGTTTTCCTAATATCATGCAGCAAAAGTGTAAATTACATATACATCTTCAAATGTACGCATACAAATTCCAACTGTTTGTGTGGATTTGGAGGCATTTTTCTTTACTTGTTTATTCAAATGGAACAGTACCACAGGCACTGTCGGTTTTTGTGGTTTCTGGGTTGTTCCGGAACATCTAATCATTATGTTTTCATCTGTGTCCAGCCGGATTCAGATGCTGCCTAGGAAAGCCTCTGCCAAACGTTAGAGTGGG